AGGGTGAGCGGGAAAATGACCGAGGAACTTTCATCCGCTCAGTGACAAAAGGACAAACATCCTGAGCTCCCGGCCTGAGAAAGAGAAAGGAGCTTTTTCAGATATACCGCCTCAAAACAGCTGAGATTAGACCCCTTCCTGCTGCTTCGAACGAGTCTCCAAGGAACTTCCTTAAAGCCACGAACGTCTCAAGAGCAGGTGAAGAAAGGGCTGATGACTGGAAGGAGAGTCGACCGGTCAAGAAGGACCGCAGGAAGAGCGCAGCGTAGTTTTCAGTCCAGCAGCACACTGAGAACCTCCCCCCTCCCTCCCCTCCCCTCCCTCCTCCCTCCTCCCCCCCTCTCCCCCCACCGACTCTAACAGGAACAAGATTTTGCCTCCCCCCCCTACTTCCACACACAAAGCAGCAGCGGGCGCACATCTCGCCAGCAGCACATTCTCCATTGTGGCGTTGCAATGTGCAGGTCACCGCCGTAACCCCGGTAACCAACCCGTCCCCCCGGTACCACAGGACCTCGGTTAAGTAAAGTTAATGTCTCTGCGCTTGTCCATCCGTCACCTCTACAGAGGTCTCATCATTTGCTACTTTCTCCCACACTGCGGACCTGAACGCATCATCATTTGTTACGTTGGTCGTACAGTTTTATCAGAATAAAGTTTATTAAACCATCATTCAAAACCATTAATATTCCTGTTCTGATGATTGGAAACCGCAATCAGCACCAACAAACAGAAAAGCTAAAAAAAAAAAAAAAAAAACAAAAAAACATGTGAATGTTTCAATTGCGATGCCAAAACCAGTAAGAAAAAAGGGACCGCATTAATATCCGACGACACAGAGTGAGGACCGTGAACTGTCTGTTCCTGTTTCCTCGTCTTACATTCTTTTATGTTTGTTTCAGGGGTTAGATGGAGGGGCATTACGCCGGCCCGGCTCCCTCTGGTGGACCGGCTGTCCACCTGGGGAGTCACCGAACGCAGACCGGTGTTGTTCTGAGACGAGTGTCCGACGCACCGGCTCGTGGTTCAGTGTGGACTCGTCGTTGATTCTGTGTTGCAGCGAGGAGGCCGCACATTTTAAATGTTGTGGCAGTGAGAGAGGAATGAAGATGTTTGGGTGCTGACGTCCTCCCGCTCTGCTCCACAATAAGACGGATGCCTGGTTGGATTATTGGTTATCCCACTGTCTGCCACACTGCCCCCCCCCTCCAGTGCCCTGTGGCCTGGTGATTGCTTTTAAAGCCCGTCTGTTCCTCTCCAGCCTGCCAGAGCTTCCCAGTGCTTCTTCTACTCCCCTTCCTCCCCCTCTCTCCTCCCTCCGTCCTCCGTCCTGGTGCAGCTCTGAAAGCTGAAGCAGAGGCGGGAGTGGGCCGGAGAAAGTGCAAAGCAGTGCAAGGTCTATCTTTGTCTGCCATCTGAGTCATTTTTTTCTTCTCATTGTTCACCCCCCGTCACTGCAGCTCGTGTTGTGATGAAACAGCGCCCCTCTGCCGACGCCGGCGCTCGGTGCAGGAGCAGACATTTTCCTCTCGTGTCTGCCTTTGAAATGCCCATTCTGTGTGTCACACTGGTAAAATGGAGTACTCTGCTCTCAGCTGGCCTTCATCCTCTGCCATGAAGTCAATCCGTGTGATGAAAATCCTCGTTTTTATTTGTCTTCCACACTTCAGACGCGTCTCTGGTCGTCTGGTTTGTTGATTACAGTGTTTTTCCTGCTTCCAGCTTCGTATAATGCTGATTCACTGACCTCTGCAGTCCGACGGGGGAAATGCTCGGAAGATCTCTCACATGTGACCTAAATGAGCAGTTTCATTAATATTTAAATGTGTGACGGACCAGACGGTCACCGTTCCTGCCTGTCCACTTAAAACTGAGTCATAATCCTGTTCAGGGAAATAAACAGACTGAAATTAGGGAGAAAAACAAGTTTAAAACGGTTTATAACAGAGAGAAACAGAAACAGTTTGGTTTAATCAGTTGTTAAACTAGTTGCTGGTTGTTTGTCAAACGATGGACTAATCGTTCCAGCTCTTTTTAATCTATATAAATCCTTACATTTGTGCTGTATATTGTCTCGTCTGTAAAACGACCCTCACACCTTCTTTTTGACCCGCAGATGGAAGCGGGCGGAGAGCCGTTACACCGTGGAGAGAGCTGCTATCATCAGCCACTGGAACTGGCTCCAGGCCCACATCTCGGACTTGGAGTACCGCATCCGACAGCAGACAGACATCTACAGACAGATCCGCGCCAGCAAGGTCAGTCGCTCGCTCTGTTTGTTAAATACTGGACTACAATGTGTGATGTGTCTCTGATGGGCTGTGAGCAGTGAAACTCGGAGCTCAGGGCTCCAGACTAACTCCACTGGTAATACTGGTGCTGCTCAGCTGGTCGCAGTTTCTCTCGTACGGTACGATGCCGCGACGTGCTGCTGAACGGAGGCTGAACTCGTCAGGTGTTTTTAATCCGGTAAAACGGTGAATAAATGAACAAATAAAATGAATTAACTCAGACGTTGTAGCCTTTACGTGGCGCTGGGTGTAACGTAGTGTTCAGCTTCCACACTGGTCGGGAAACACAGAAGTTTTCCTCCAGGACGAACCCTGACTTCAAGGCTGAGCCGCTCTACTTTTACCCAGCAGCTGGGAGCCGAGACACGGGAACTTCCTAAGTTTTGAAGGGCAAACTGTGACCTTCACTGCCACTAGACAACTTCACTGCAAACCTTTTCCTCTGCGTCACTCAACCACACACACACACACGTGTTCCTTAAAGGAGCTCTGCTCTTATAACAGCGGTTAAACTCAGTGTGCAGCCTCTCCGGCTCTGCAGGGAGATCCTACAAATACAACCACGTAATATTTAAAAACAGTTGCAGTCTGGAGCCCTGGAGCTGTTTGATCAGTTCATAAATATACATATAAACACATATATCTTTGGGGTGGAAGTGTAACGCTCAGGTCTTGATTCTGTAGGGCTCAGTAGAGTTGGGAGGTGTTTCCCCCCGCGCAGTGTCTGCAGGTGGGACAGAAGTGAAGACAGAGCCTGTAAACACTCAGGTAAGCAGAGTGAAAGTCAACACGGGCCGCCGGGCTTCGGCCATATTCTGTCTGTAGGGGATGAACCAAACTAATTCGTTAATGTCCGCGGACTCCGAGGTAAACTCGTGAGTTTGAAGCGTTCGTGTTGTGTTCAGTCTCAGTATCGTCCTGTGGAGGTTGCTTCTGATCGTTTGTGGTAGTGATTAAAAATGACTATGGGGGGAAAGAAGCACTCGTTTAAAGAACTAATGAATCAGAAGAATGAGCCTTAAAATTGGTATAATTTAAGACACATTTAGCTTTAATTTAAAAAGCACCAGATGAAATCCTAAAAGCTTCAAACATTCTTATAAAAAACCTCCAGCACATTCATGTTCGTCTGCACGAGTATGAAACATATTAATAAAGCTTGCTGCAAAAGAAAAGAGTTTTCAGGAGTGAATGTATAAAGCTGACAGTAAATATTTGACTAAACACGCCTTCATTCAACACTGGATGGTATATTGGTAGATGTGTTCATCCTGATGATCAATGAAACAGTTGGCGTGTTTGTTCTCGTCAAAGCATCTGCTGCAAACGAAATGTTGAATGTTGACAGGAAATTGTGTTTTTAATCTGTCTCTCCGGTCTGAAATGAATCAGACAGAACTGCTTCTGTGTAATAAGCTCGTTCAACATTCATTTACAAATCATTCATCACACCATCTCTCGTCTCTGGGTACGTTTACATTGTTTGCACCAGTGTTAAAACCAGTCAAACCAGCACGACTGCAGGAGTGGCCTCTGATCCTGGTGGACTCGTCACGCAGTCACTTTTAACCTCGTTAAATACTGTGATTTTTCTGTCTTTCGCTGAATCACATTTAAATTAAAACAACTTTTAAATCCAGAAGAATGAGTGGAATTAGAGAGGCGTCTCCGATAATGTCAGTCTGAGTGAAACCATGTGTTCGTCTGTGTGTGTGTGTGTGTGTGTGAGCTCCCAGCGATCTTGATGACTGAATAGGTTTTTAGGTTTTTGGGGAGAGCCCAGCCCTTTCTTACAAATGTAGACTGAATAATTTAAAGCCACAGGACCGGGGGAAGATTCAGTTAGTCTATTATGTAGTTTCCTTGAATATCTCCCGTGTTCGCCGAGCGCCGCTGGTCAGCCTGCGCTGCTGTGCCAGTTTACCCGAGGTGTAATCTCACTGGTTTTGTCTTATCTCTCGATGCAGGATGTTGGTTCAGAGCGGCTGGAGCACACAGGCGCCGCCCACATCACCAGCGCAGACGCCGGCCCTTGGAAAGGTCAAAACGCACAACCGGTGAACGGCGTCCTCAGCAGGTACGGCTGATGAGTGACGGTCACACCGAATGATGAATTGGCAGCTATTGTTTGTCATTTTTCAAGAAAGAAATACTGAATGTGACTTTAAAATGTGGGAGTTAATGTTCTTTTATGTGTCGCATATGAAAGTAAACTGTGTTGTTACTGTTACTGGATGAAACAAGCAGTTTTACAGGCCTGTCAGAAATTACAACCATTATTTTTCACTATTTTCTCACATTTCAAAGACAAAATGATTCTTTTTTTTTTGCAGATCTAACGTTACCGCTGCTGCTGCATCTTAAACTGAGATTAGGTTGTGAGGGTTTTACTGTTCCCTGCTTAAAAAGCGAATAAGATAAACATGAGTGTCTGTTTTCATCGTCAATATTCACTCACGCTGTTCAGAGACTAAAAATAGACGCCAACACGTCCCCGATCGTCTTTAATTAACTCGGCCGTCACTTGAGACAAAATGTGTTTCCATTTAATTTGAAGGTGTGAGATCTGTGACCTCATGTGTGCTCTGTTGGTTGTCCTCGTGACAGGATGGCGGAGAGTGCGGACGCCAAGCACCAGCAGCCGTCGGCCCACGACAGCACATGTGTGGCTGCGCGTACGCGACCACTAGTCGGCTGTCGACGGCGGCGGCTGATTCAGCCCAACACGGTGCCCAACCTGAACGGCAAGGTGAGCGTGCTGTGTTGGTGTGAAGTCACTGAGAGACGGTTTTATTCTGTGTTCGGGCTGCACTCACTCATTAACTCCTCAGTGTGTAATAGCTGAGTAAACAGGAGATGGATGACTTGTTTATGAAAAACTAGGGCAAACAACAAAGAAGAGTAATCGACCTTGTGACGACTCACAAGTTTTAGTTAAAATAGAAACATTGGCCGGTTGTTTATGACTCCTCCCCCCCCACAACACTACAGCTCACTCTAAATACATGAATGTGTTACTGTAAGGCCTTATCATGTCTGATTCTCACTGCTCACATTTTACCAACAGAATGAGATTTCTTTTACACTAACAGAACAGTTACTCTGTGATACTGTTAATTTACACTTTCAGCACAGGATTGATGTATAATTTATCATTTATGTATTTAATCTGGTTTTTAAATTATCCTGCAATTCAGCGCCAAGTAGAACTAATAAAACCATTTCTGAGAAATACAGGAAGTCACCAAAAAGCCTTCAAAGAGGGAAATGTGTTCTGGGCTGACTCACTTTAAACTCCTGCGGCGCATTAAACTACAGGATTTCTGGCAGCCATTTGTTCCTCTTGTATGTGTTAACGTTACAGATGAATCATGAGTATTCACAGCCGAGCTTTACGTGGTTTTTGCACCGTGACTTTGTGTGCACCCACAGGCCCAGAGAAGCAGCTGTCTCCAGTGTAACTGCAGGGTAAACCCCAGCTGTGTGATGTGTGGTGGCTGGCCCACCCCCAGAGAGGACCCTCAGTATGAGCTGCCCACCCTGGAGCGCCTGTCAAGACTGGATCTTGGCGTCCACCCCATCCTCTCCTTCCCTGACGGTCAGTGCTGGGCTCCTCGCTCAGAGCAGAACTCAGTTTACGCAGTCGTTTCCTACTTTACATCTGGAGGGGAAGACAAACAAGGAGTGGCTGCGGAGAGAGAGTTCTCCCCAGGAAGTTCTGAGGGAACATTTTCAGCGATTTAGACAATCTTTTCGATCTGTAAAGGGTGTCATATTCCCCTGAATAAGTGTTGTTTGCTCAGCGTCTGGCTCCCTTTACCATTCAGGAAGAATAATAATAATGTCCCTTTTGCTCTCACATTTTTGTTTGGCCTTTGTTTTTCCATGTCAGTGCCTCTTTGTATTTGTTTGAACTCAAATACAAAACTGCAACAGACAGATCAGAGTAGTTTTCACCACCACACGACAACCGTGGATTTGGCTCGTACAGGAGATTGCCTATGGCTCATTATGAATCTTGCATGCCACTGTGAATTGCTAATGTTGGACTACAGATGGCAGATCCGAAAGTATCCGGCTTCACATGCTGGGTGAAATGTATGGTTTTAATACTGAAGCCTCCCTTTTTGTTTACTTCTCCCTCAGACGTTTGTATAGGCCTACGTCTGCAGCAGGTGATGAAGAGCCAGTGGCAGAGCAAGTCACTGGAGAGGAGCAAACCACTGAAGAAGCTCTCCCTCAAACATAAGCTTTCCTCGTCCAAAGAGAAGCACAAGTTCACCAACTCACTTATGGCAGTCAGTAAGTACAAACGCTACCGAGCCAGAGTCTTTACACCCCTCGTGTCTGCGCGGTGAAACTTCAGCATCTGTCTGCAGCTCCTCTAAAGAAGCTCTGGAATTAAACTACCTGAAAAACGAGACTCCAAGACGAGGATATGACTTATCATCACAATACATCAGCATTAAATGAGCCAGGAAATGATTAAATCTCATTGTTATTAAGATGTTATTTCGTCCTACTTCACAGTAACAGAGTTTATTGCAGGTCGTTTTTCTTTCACAATGTTTGTCCCAGCAACCGTTTGATTTCACAATGAGACCGCTGTGTGATTGGCTGTTGTCGCTCAGCCCCAGTAGTAACACTTGTTGTTCTTACAGGTCTACAGTAGCCTTTAACATGCATACATTTCATACCCAGTGTTGTGAGTCTTTGGGGCGGCTTGCAGACGCCCAATGGAGACGTGTTCCCCCAAAAAAAAAAAAAAGAGAAAGAGATTTAAACTGAAAACATTCACTCTGAAAACTTGCTTCAACTCCCCGTCTAATAATAATGTGACTGGTTCCTGGCGTTGCAGGACTGGGCCACTATAAGAACCGTGCTGAGAAGCCAAGGACGGTGGACAGCAGCGTGGGCGGCGCCGGTGGTGTCGGCGGCGGCAGCAGTGCTGTTCTGAACGCAGGCAGGCTCGAGGGCCAGGCTGTGTGCAAGGCCGAGCGTCTGCAGGCTCTCTCCACGCCGTTAGGGCCCTTCGACAAGAACTACAGCCGCAAGAGGTTAAGAGAGCACTCGCTGGACAGGACTGACTGTGAGTCTTTTGTGAATGAAGCCCGGCTCAAATACTGGGTGGTATATTGTTGGCGTTAATGCACTCGTTTTAAATTAATGAAGGTTCATGGTGTGAAAAAAACATTTGGAACTCGCAAGTGATGAGTTTGTCATGAAAGTGAGAAACTGAGCAGTCATCTAAATCTGCCTGTCTCCTCCAGCCTCCCCCAAACTTTTCCTGGAGTCGAGCAGCCCCTGCCCAACTCTGGCCAACATGCACCCGTCCCTTCACAGCCCCCTCACACGCCAGCTGTCCACGTCTTCAGAGAACTCCACGCCGCTGGGCGCCAGCAGCCAGAGCATCCCGAGCACACCTGTAAGAAAAACACTTGGACGGCTTCTCACTTCTTGTTTTCTTGCTTCATTACCTGCTAATGAACTGGAACTCCAGTAGGGCTGCCCCCCCCCTCCCCCCTTTAGATGGTGTTGATTCAGATCATCTGTTATGGAGCTCCCAGTTGACACGCCCCTTTTTATTTCGACATTATTTTGTGTGGGAATCTCTGTTTCACACGGCAGATTACAATCGTGTTTAAGGCGGTTACAGGTGAAATGTGAGACTGCTCTGCTCTTTACTACCTCTAACTGTGGTGAACAGAAATCAGACACTGTTGACATGAGTGAGTGTGATAAGGCGAGCGGCAGGTGAGAAAGAGAAACTAAACTCAAACTCAAACTTTATTTGCTTGTGGATTGTTTTTTGACTTTGCGGTTACTGCAGCAGGAAACAAAAACACTGCAGACACAAAGTCAGACAGTCGTCAGACCGGTAGTTTCACGTACTGCTCGGCTCTCGTCCTCCACCAAGTGGATCTTTGCTAGTTTGCAGACTCGAACAAGGAATCCGTATTTAAAGGAGGATACTGTTTTTAATAGTGATCATAAACATTTTAACCTCTTGTCTGCTAGAAACCCCCCTCGACAGTTACACATTAAAAAACTAACTGTCGACTAATTTCCCAACTTTTTTCCCTTTTCTGTCATAAACTCGTAAACTGACCCCTGAAGTGACATTTTATAGATATTTAATATTATATTCAAAACCACAGTGAGTCTGAACAGTGAACTCAGTAACTGTAAGAAGTTAACCACAGAGTTTGATGAAGCAGATTATTTCCCGTTTAGTGAACTTTTTATACAAGTCTCTGTCTGTATTATGGATTTTTAAAATAATTGTAACACTTAATGATTCCTGATGCTTGGCCGTTGTTCTATTAGACAATCTACATTAAGTTTTCCTTCACATGAGTGAACACGATGCTGAGATACAGACATACTGAGGCCTACTGGGTATATTTCAGTTTTCTAGCACCGTCTCGACTCTGAGAGCGGTTGGTTAGTGGGGATCATCCAAATCCTATAATACGTTGAGTTTATGACGTCTCCAACACAGGAAGTAGAAACCTTTAATATGTTAACATGAATGAGTTGAAACTGTCCCAGAAATGCTGCTTTAAACCTTCTGTGCTGTTCGTATCTGAGCTCCTACGTTTGGTGGCGGTGGCGTTGGATCGAGTGTGTCTCTGTGTACATCCTGTGTGAACCACATACATCCATACTGAATCCTTCACATGCTCTTTTGTCCCCCCCCTCCCTCCACCTGCCCTCAGCAGCAGCCTATCAAGAGGAGGCGGGGTGAAAGCTCCTTCGACATCAACAACATAGTGATCCCCATGTCTGTGGCGGCCACCACCAGGGTGGAGAAGCTGCAGTACAAAGAGATTCTCACACCCAGGTAAACACCTGTGAGACGCTGTGGGGGGGCTGCGTGAAACCCGCCACCAGCCCTCCAGTTGGTTTCCTCTTTCAGTGTATTTATAGTCTTCCAGTGGTTATTTTCGAGCGGCTGGTTTCCTGTGCTCACCTTCTGTTTCTGTTGTAGTTGGAGATCTGTGGACATCTTCTGTCAGCCGATAACTGAAGAGGAGAACGAGCGGGAGGTCAGTGTTTATCTCTGTCCCAGGTATTTATCTATCAGGTGTCCCACATTAAGACCCATCCCACATTATTAAATCCTCAGGTGTGTGGTTGTATTTAGTGTTTAATGACACACAATATCACCTGGACTTTAAGAGAGAACAGCGACACCTGGTGGACAAACACGCTCGAGGTTGTTTCCTCGTAGTGAGTCTGGAAAATCCCCAGCTAGTGTTTGTACTCAGACCTTACGTAAGATCCATATGTGGACCTTTAAATACATTTATTTTTAATTGATTAATCCAGATATCCAAATGAGATTATAATTATTATAATAATTATTCTGTCCTGCTGTGATTTAAGTGTCAACTACTTCCTGAACCTGATCAGTGATTCTTTAAACAAACAGCTTCTGGTTTTTCCTAAAATGGTAGAAAATGCCTGAGAATGAGCATGTCTGTGTATATTTTGGTGTGTTCTAAACATAATAAAAACCCTCCTTTTTATTGCTTATTCTGGTCTGTTTCTGCCATTTTATTTAAAAACTGTTGTCAAATGTGTCCAAAGACTAAATATAGTGCAATAAGAAATTGGCTCCATCTCAGAAACTACAAGCAGCACAAACAAGTATTTGATATGTATGAACTCATAACTAAGATATCCTCACATATCAAACAATATTCACATGGAAAACGTCCAATAAACACTCTTTATTATACTGAACATAGTCTCAGTGCACCGAGGCTGATCAGCTGATTAAAGGACTAGTTGCTGAGCACGTTCGAGGTCCTGATGGTTGTTTGTGTCTGCAGGTGGAGGACCTGACCGACGCGGCCTTCACTCAGCACCATCAGCCCTACGAGGACCAGGAGCGCTCCCGCTGGACTTGGATGGCTCTGGCTCCCGCTAAGAGGAGGGGCAGCAGGTGACCCCCGCCCCTTCACACACACACACACACACACAGAGTGACACACGAGGGTTTGGTTCTGAACTGCGGTCTGTCTCGTCCCCCTTCAGGTCGTACAAATCTGTGGACGGGCGGACCACGCCGTTGCTGTGCGGGACCAACCCTCCCACCCCTCAGCCTGCGTCCCCGGACCCGGGCCACTGCCCCATGCTCCACGACTACAGCCACGTGCCGTCGCCCATGAGTCCAGCCAGCCCCGACACCACCTCCAACCCCCACACACCCTGCTCCAGGGACTCCCATCGGCTGCTGTCCAGCGAGGACACCAGGTGCTCCACGCCGGACTTCACCTTTGAGGAGCGGGTACGTCACTGTGGTTGGTTGAGAGTCGCCGATATACGAGGCGGCGTAACGTCCTTTCTCATAGCAACAGTCGCTGTGTGTTTAATGGTAACGGAGAGAGAAGAGAGCTAAAAGGTGGAAACAGTCAGCCCCTCCAGGATTTATCCGGCTTCCTTTGGGTCTAAAACACCTGATTCCACGTCTGCTCTCCTGCGACACGTTACGATGTTTTTAAGCTTTTTTTGCGATGAAATTGAGAGAGAAACTTTGGAGGGTAAATGTGAGACGTCGACTTCTTCACAACTACAAACAAGGAAGTGAGTTTGGCTCAACAGTCAGTGCAGGAAACTACAACAGATTGGCAGAAAGGGTTTCAGGGTTGATACAACGGTGTAAAACAAACGGTGTGAAGGGAAATAATACATAAAAATCTCTGTGTGGACCGATAAGTGTACACTGGGAGATGTAGGAGATAAATATGTTGTTTTAAGAACCACGATTGCTTTTAGAAACAACTGGAAATACAAATATCCTGGAAAAAGTTCATGTTATTGTATTTTACTCTCTTAGATTACGTAAACCTCGGTGTTTTGTTTGAGACTGACTGAAAACCGGGGTTACCTGAAGCGTAACACATTCGTGGCGTTCTGTTAGTTAGAGGAAATGAATGCTTTAACCACCTGTAATGTGTAATCATGTGACCCTGATAATAACGTCCTGTTTGGCGTTCTCTGCAGACGGTAGCGCCGTGGGAACGTCGCAGCTTCCCGTTGCCAGAGGACCCGGCCCCGGAGCCCGAGGCGGAGAGCGACCACCACATCAGGCCCAGAATGCGCAGCATCTCAGGTTGCCGAGCGACAGCCTACGGACGTCTGGATTCGGACGACGCGGAGCCGCCTTGCGAGGACGACGGCGGCCCCAAACACAGGGCCTCCACCCACCGATGAATGACTGACAGGCTGAGGTCCTCTCCCTCCTCCTCCCTCCCTGCCTCCCCCCACCCACAACCCACAGCTCCTCTCTGGCATTAACAAGCAGAACCTCAAAGAGCAGAATACGATATGAAATGGGTTCCTGTTGTTTGATATTCAAACATCAGTCTAATACTTTTCACAGTTTTTAGTGAACATTATGGAGATAGAAGCCTTTCCCTACACTTTGTTTTTGTCACAGGATTAAAAAAAAAGGATAAATGTAAAAAAACAAAAAAAGTATAAAACAAACACGTTACAAAAAATGTTTTCTGTAGTAGGCTAAACAATGTACATGGGGGGGCTTAGTGGTGTTTCATATGTCGCGTGTACACTTGTAGCGCACTATGTAGCGGACTCCTCAAAATATGGCCAAAGGGTGTTTTCTATTGACTAGTTTGCTTGTAATTCCCATGTACATTTTTAGTGGAGTGACAAATAACAAAACAAGAAAAAATACCCCCTCTTCCTCCTCCTCCTCTTCCTCCTTCCCTGCCCTTCCTCCTCCTCCTCATCCAAATAAACAGGTACATTTGAGATGTGGTTCCCTCCTTCTCCCTCTAGAGGTCGCCTGAAATCACCAGAGCACTTCTCCAACTGCCAAGTCTCGTTTTGTTGGTTTGTTTTCTCGCTTTTTTCTTTTCATTGTTTGTTTTTTTTTTTTCATTCCTGAAACATGTTTTTATTTGTATCTGTCCGTTCCAGCGTAAACACACTGTGTGTTTTTCTTTTTGTTGTTTTCAACTAGTAAAAAAAATCATTCCTTTTTACAGCCTCTCTCTCTTCCCCCCCCCC